TTCGTTAATTGACGTTACTTAATATCGTGAAATGGACTGCACATAAAAGGCTGCACATGGGAACCTAATCAACTAACGATGACCCAGCCTTGGAACTGAGAACAATGCCCACTCCAACTTGATCAGTGGTTTGCACATCAGCGTCTCCGGATGCGTGCAAACAATAGCGAGAGGACAAACCGGGTGCGGTTAATTACACAACCCCGAGAGCGTCATTAATTCTAGTTTCGGACACACCACATGTCAATACCCAGCGTGTCTAACGTGCGTGCGAATGCAGCCTGTGGACCTATTTGTCTTGTAGGGCGAACGCTGAACGTCGCCACGGAAACGGGACAGTGTGGCCTAATAAGCTGTGGGTGATTAGTGGCCAGTGGGCGGTGCTAGAACATAGCTGTAGACTGTATGACTCCAGTGACATTGCGGTTGCTGTTAATGAAACTGGGAATTATAGAAAGAAGGTTAGTAATGGGAAAAGGGATGGAGTAAGAGAAACCGTTGGAAAGGAAAGAGGGAAGGCGCCGGCAGTAGTATGTTTTGCTTATCCCCACTACTAATGTACGCAACAGATAAGCCGACTCTTGATAAGCTGTGGGACAGTCGATTCAGGAAATGGCAAGTTAGAAGGAGTAGTTTCGGTTGGACGTGGGTGCCCAGACCTAGACAGGAGAACGATTAGGATCCTCAAACAGTCTTTGGTTCAAAAGCCTGTCCGCAAAGTATTGGATGTGGCAAGCATTCGGTTTTACAGATGTGGACGCCATCATATTGCAAAAAACCAACCTGGAGGACAAAGAGACGGAGTTCATCTGACCTCTGACCATTGATCAACTTGGCAGGAGTAGCTCTTAAGGGGCTCAAAGTCCCCATCCAGTATAGCTCAATGTGTCGACAAGTTATGCAAACCGTCCCAGTCGCGTTGCAGTTGAATAATAAGACATCGCGCAGCCTAAATGTGTTGACAGTGCGTGGTGAGTAATAAAGTTATTCCGAGTTTGCTCGACATTATACCGAGGGAGCAACACAGATGCTTAGCTTCTGGCTCTCTATTTCTAGTATCCAGTATTCCCCTCCGTGTTTCCCTTTAAGTCTTTTATGTCTCCAGTTAGCACGCTTGCAAATCATTGTTGTGTTTTAGTTTAAAAGTATAACGACAAGATCATGTTGTTTAGAAAGAAACTTTTTCCGAGCGTCTGACGAAGGAGAGGAATTTGAAATGAATATTTATTACAGCGCATTGTTAATGCATTTGGGCTGCGCGAGATCATGTCAAGCAAGTCCGACGCGTTCTCGAAATCTGTTAATGGTAAAATGGGAGTCTAGGAATTGCACGAAAAAAACCATCGGCAGTAAACCTGGCACGCAGCACCGATGCTTCCTTGCCGCGCGACCACCATTCGTCGCACGTGGGCTAAAGATACTACAAGGGTTGCCCGGTCCTCACGCTGACTCGAACCAGTGCCGTCGGATTACAAGGTAGGCTTGTGATCCCTTAAGGCTACGAGCCGGCAAGATTTTCTTGAACGTGGGAACCGATCTTCTATTGACTAGTGTCTCGAGTACAAGGTCCCAATATTTCACAACTCGAGGCTCGAAGGATACGGTGTGAACTATTCGCTTCAAATCCGGTACCGCGAGGTTGTAATGGTAGCCGCGGCCTCATAATAAGAAAGTTACCGAGATGTAATATCCGGTGCATCATTATGAGGTACACGCGAAATCGATAACACGACAGGGTGTGTGGCCCCAGTCTCTCGCATCGGTCTTCGTAAGATGTATCCTGAAAATGGGGATGAACCTGGTAGCCACATGCCGAACACGTCCCAGTTTTGATCGGACAACAGATAAGTGATCCGTACATAATCACTAATCTTATGATGGAAGAAAAGAAAGGAGTGGCAATCACTTCACATTAAATACAGAAGCTGCGTTTGAACGCCCAAAGCAAACGTAGCCCGTTTCTACATGCAGTTTGTATGTGCGTGTGCGTGTGCGTGTGTGTATGTGTGTGTGTGTGTGGGTGTTGTCCATGAACCTCACACCATAGCGTGAGAGCATGCCAAGATCCAGTACAGGTGTGGGAAAACAAAAAGTTGTTCCATTTTGCGATTCCCTTGACCAAATTGGTAAGGAGGCAGGAGCAAACGATCCCGCGCCGAAAGGCACATTCGGAGTACAACCTCTTCTAGGTGGTGAGCAAGCAAAATGCAAATGTTGGGAGGAACGTTTAGTCACAAGCAATACCAATTCAAGCCGATTAAGCAGAATGTACCAATGTGCAACTAGCGCAGTGAAACTATATTATTAAGCAGGTACTGCTCATTAGTGAGGAAACGTTGTTAGAAGAGATGGAGCAATCTATCTACGAGTGCAATCGATATAGTTGGTAAGCTGGAAGTTAGGATCCCAGTAACGTAGGGAAACGAGGAAACAATAGACAGGTGTATAACGCTACATTGTAAACATCACTAGGAGCAGAATACTGAAAGCAGAGAGCGAGAAGATAGAAACCAGTGTTGTTCCGTCGTAGTTAGATCGAGAACATGCGTAGAATCACATTGCTGATCCTGCTCGGTGGCAACATATTACAGTAGCATTACATGTTACCCGGGTGAGACACGCTCCCTATACTAGTAATCTCCAAAGTGGACGTCGAGGAATAGCTTAATTCCGACACCGATTTCGTCTCGACTATTGTCTCCGGCAACTTGTTCCAATATTTCAGCATTCGACGCTTGAAGCACAGATGGTGAACGATGCGCTTTAAATCCGGTACCACCAGTTAGTACCGGTGTCCGAGTGTGATGTTTGGTGCACGGACGTGCATCAGCGGCTTCAAGATAGGGAAGTGGCCCAGGTGCAGTATCCAGGGCGTCATTAGGAGATCAACTCGAAGCCGACGATATGACAGGGTAAAATGTCTCCTACATCTACATTGATTCTCGTACGACATACCCTGTAAACTGGTAATGAACTGGGTAGCTACATATCGAACCCATTTTCAGCCTCTGCATCTTACTTATTGTGACTGGGCAATTGGCAGGTGCGTCGTACTCAAGCAACGGTCTTATCATGGAAGAAAACAGGCGAGTGATAACATCTTCAGACCGAGTGCAGAAGCTGCGTCTAAGCGCCCAAAGCAGGTGTAGTAAGATTCCATACAGTCTGTTTGTGTTGCCGACGAACTTCAGATCACAGCGTGTGAGTATACCTAGATCCTATACAGAGCTTGTGAAATACGGCGGTTACCTAGCTAGGGCGTACATAAGCCCATTGTCATCCTTCCCCAGACTCATAAATGACGACTTGACCGGGTTGACAAGCCGATCCACCTCTGAAGACCACAGGGACAGACGGTTGGGGTCCTGCAGAAGGAGGTTACAGTCCTCGGGAGAATCAATAACCCTCCAAATCTTCCGCTCATCGGCGGAATCACGCCGTATCACAGTTAGATATCAGTCATGGCGGTCCGCTGCCATCGCCCATGGCTTAGTGACATAAGTCGCTGACTCGAAAGAGTAAGGTCGTGGGTTCGAATCCGGCAGGATTCAGCGGGTGCGCGCTACTGACGAGTCCCAATAGGACGAAACGGCCGTCTAGCGCTTTCGTGGATGTGTGGTAGCTGTCTGCCTGTGTCTAAGTGTGAGGAATCTATACAAAAAGCTACTTGTTGCAACTTGCTTTTACAGCAGATGGCCTGAGGTTCAAATATGTGACCTAGTAACCTCTTCCGGAGTGCTGCAATGGCTCAGACAGCTGTTCAGTCGTTTCGGATTACCAGAGGAAGTGGTTACAGATAATGCTCCCCGATTCTGTAGTTACGAATTCGAAACCTTAATAAAACGATATAGCGTAAAACATTCCTGGACTGACCCCTACAAACCTGCAACTAATGGTATGATGGAGCGCCTTAACCGGTTTCTCAATGAGGCAATACAAGCCATTCAATTAGGAGGGGTAGAGTGGGAAGAAGCTGTCTTAACGGCGCTGCTATCATACAGGACCTATTAACACAAAGCAACAGGGAAAACGCCTGCCGAAATGATGCTAGAAAGACCATTGCGTATCAAACTTAAAGCTGTACATGTGTCCTTTTCTGTAAGTCCCGAAGTGCCAAATCACATAGCAACATACCAACATTCCTATGCTAGAACCTCAATTCTACTGCAGCCGGGATCATTTGTTCGGATAGAAAGTTAAGTACCGTAAAGGGTCACCCAACTCTGTCTGCACCGCCGAGAATCAAGCATGCATGTGCCCCTGGTACATATCGATTGAAAAATGGCTTAATAATCAACGCCCATCGGCTTTACAGAGCAACTGGACCGGCCTCGCAGTCTAACGAAGATAGGTGTGAAACTCAGCCCCAGCCGCTTGACTCACTAATGAACCTCTAACCGCTGTGTCAAGCGCTGCTGTGGAGCTCTGGCCTAGTGATCAAGACAAAAGCCGTCCGCTAATGTGTTGGGGTCCCCCCTCTCAGCTCAAGCTATCTAGACTTGACAAGTCCAAAGCAGGAAGAAACCAGTCGGTTGTGCAGTGGCGTTGGCAGAGAAAAGCTCCAAAACTCTCCAAACCTATTGGTTCTAGCATGAAAAAGTGACAAAGTACACGTCGGTACCCGGATAAACTGAGGAAACTATAATTCATACAATCAATTCGTGGTGATGACATCGCGGTTCCAAGAACACTTTCAATGAAGATGAAAAGTGTCAGAATCTCAAGGAAACAGTGGCAGCGGCGGTCTACCGTATACGCATAGGTGGTAAATAACGAAGCCAAATAAGACAAAAGGGAACTAAATGAGGATAAATGTGGTATCATGGTAAGAGATGTATCTCAGAGGGAAAACTATAGTGACACTGATCCCAAACTAATCGCGCAAATTATCTGACAAGTGTAACGCTATCCTAGTTGAGGCATGGCAAGGAAAAGATGCAGGATGATACGGCAGATGCACAAGGTCCACGGTCAGAGAGGAACGCTCAACAAGTACCTACCTGACTGAACAGGAATATGGAGAAAGGCGTAAACGCGAGGATGGTTCAGTACATCGACGATCACCTCAAGCTGATCCAAAATGTACGGAGGATTAGTCATCCCAAGCCGGAGCATACAGCCAGCGGGGATTCGTCGAACAAGACCAGACAGCAGATCCGAAAGAGTCAGATAATCCGGGAAACGTTTAGCCACCGAGGGACAGGAGTATTTTGAAGAGGATCGACTCAAATCGCGGCCATAAGCGCCAAGATCTTCGGAAGTGAGCCAAAGTTCTTTCACACCATCTTAAGTGAGAAAACCAGGAAAAGCCGGGCATGGGCAAAAGAATAAATTTTGTAGACTCTTAAAGAAGTGGCGAAAGTGAGTATAAAAAGTTGACTCGTATATAAGAATAGTTGTAGAATCTGCCATCCAATGAACGTCAGCAGGTGTGGCGTGAAATAAGTATGATGAAAAACAGTGGGTCCGTTTCAATGATTACATTTGGCTTAAGGAATCTCGAGAATCCACCAAATTTTTTGCGACCAAAAAGTGTAAATTGACAAGCAAAACAGCATATATGTTGAAATGTGAGCTATACCTGCGTTGAAATCTGAGGGTTCCAGAAACGAGGAGGAAAATTTATGTGTACGGGTGGATCTGATCATTCTGAAGTGAGTTTGAGTTAGTCGAAGTTAGCACCCACTAGTTAACAAGTAAGCGAATAACTTAGTAATGCCATGGACTAACTCGGGGATATACCAACTGTATCTAAAACTAAATCGCACTCACAAAGGTTGTATGACAAAGGGTCCATGTCACTGTAACAATACCAACTGTCGTAAAAGATGGGTGGAGTACCACTGAGATAAGAAGAGCAGGGGATTCAGCGAAGAGGAGGCCGTCAAAACGGAATTACGGTACGGTCCCAGTGATTACAAAGATAAGGTTAGATCTCCCATCAACGTGAATGCAAATGGCCGTAAGGCTTAAGAATCCGCAGAAACACCACTAGTGTTGTGCGCCAAACCACTCACAGCCTCATCCACACATTCACATCGAGTGCAGTGGCGAAAAAAAGATATCACACGATTGCTCCGGAGCTGACGAACATCCCGATTATAAATCACCCAGGTGAACGCGCAGCACAGAGCGACCGGACGCGCCAATGCGATGGAACCATAGGAGAACAAGAGGAAAGTTCTCGAGCTGGAGGAACGCTGACTATCCAACAGACCATGGTAGTCATATCCGCCGGCTGATGACCGAGTGTTCTGTAAGCCTGGCTTGCAATCCATAAGGTCACCGGCTCGAATCCGCGTAGGGGTGGACGTTTGCTTGGTATACACAGCTCACGTGCGACTGGTGGTGGTCGCGCGGTAGAGAAGCGCCGTTACGGCGTGTAGCTGACGATTTATTTATTTATTTATTTTAGTCACATCCACTTGCTAAGGAGGAGTCGGGTAAAAGTGAATAATAATAATAATAATATAATAATAATGTGTCAGCTGTACGCCGTAACGGCGCTTCGCTGCCGCGCGACCACCACCAGTCGCGCGCGGGCTGAGTATACCGCGAGGACGCCCACCCCTACGCGGTAAAAGTGAATGGTTGAGACTGATACTAATTAGTGACCAGTGGGCATCAATACATACTTCTAGGTATAGTGAAGTATCGCAGTCTATGCATTTAGTTATCAAAGCGATATATATATATATATATATATATATATATATATATATATATATATACATTTCTGCAACAGGCTATAAATAGACAATGAGTCATCGAAAAACCATGACAAACAAAATAGAAAAAAGTACAAGTGGTAGGAACAGATAACAAATATGTTTTAATCTTTTTGTCTGTTTAGACTGGCCATTTTTGTTTTTTTTGGCATTGTGAATGGTTTAGTTCAAATCACACTGTTCGAAACACTTCAACATACAGTCCTTCTATTGATTCCGGTTTCGCGTCATATTTCCAAATGTGTCAAGCCATTTGCATTCCTCATCCTTGGGCCCCCAACCAGAACGACGTACGGGGCCGACGATTGCGAGGCAGGTCAGCAATTTCATGGTTTGCCCACATGTGGTTGGCTGATGTCCATGCCTTCTCTTCCAATTCAATCCAGTGCGATTGAGCGGAGGGCTCAAGTTTCCCGTGACACTGGACATCGTCGTTGCGAACCCGGTGCTTCCACCACATACGAGCTATGCGCCCCAAACATGTGTTTTCGAGGGGTCGAGAGCCTACGCATGTCATCCACACGAAGCGGTCAGGACCGTGCAGACACAAGCGTTGTAGACCCTCCCCTTTAAGGAGAGGGATATGTCCCGACGACGCCACAAATGACTCAGGTTGGTAAATGCCGACCGGGCTCTGGCGATGAGAAGAGATACCTCTTTTCCAATAGTGCTATCAGCAAGTTATGGTTTACTGTAGATATCGTTACATCCTTTTCAGAGGCTGCAGCAACAACGCGTCCTTTCAAATAATGGGCAGTTTAGAGTTAAGGGCTTAAGTAAAAACTCGAACAGCCTGTTTATTACCAACAAAACACAAACCACAATGTACGCCAACGAACTCACTGCAGAAGCAACCGGATTAAACACTGAGCAGTCTGGATCGCGAAAAACAAACAGAATTGAGTTGCATCGGTGAGGACTCAGAGCCATGGCCAGATAACAAAGAAGTGCAACCAACACATCTGAGTATGAAATATCATCAAAGCTAACATCCAATCGGCAAAAAACACAGGGATAATTACTCAACCAGTGAAGAGTGTCATATAGACTGATTGATTCGTAAAGACTAGATGACTAAGTTGAAGTCCCGCAGAGGAGTGCTGTATCGATTCGAAAGAAAGTAAAAGCTAGAGAATCACGAGATGTTCACCGGGTGAAAAGTGAAAGAAAGCGATGCAGGGAGACTACGAGTTGGTTTCCATGAAAACCACCTATTGGAATCGTTCGCTGTCATTTCCCACCAATTCACGGATGTTCCCTGTTGTTTATTACACTATTCTACAACAGTGTCTAAGAAATTAGATGCTACCACAAAAGCGTTACCATGATCGTGAATCGAGACGCCCTTTACCTCCAGCTTTGAAAAAGGAAGTGTGGAACAGATAGGCGTTGGAGGAGCGGAGTGGTTGAATGTCACCAAGAAGAGATGAGTTATGCGGTAATATCATTCGAAGAAGTCGAGCGCAGTTCAGAAAAAAACAGCATGAAAGCAATATGCAACACAAGGATCAAAAGCATCCACGGAACCAGACGCTTGTCACTGCGGCACAGAACTTGAAGGTCACAAGCAATGGTAAACCACACGGAACACGTGACAACACCAGTTCAACGAAAAAAACGAAAAACGGATAGATGTAGTTATAGCTGGAACAAAGCACAGTCATCGTTTCAGAAAACTTGGTAGACGAACAGTTAATGCATTTATGATGATAGATAACGTTTCGCTTTTGACAAAAAAGCTTCATCAGGCCCTGGTTAGCAATCTTAACTGAACCGTTGCAAGGAACATGGACATTGATGGAACTTGGCTTTAGTACTTCGGAATTTGGTGGAGGGTAGGTCGATAGTTCATTCCGATTTGGGATCCATTCACCGATGCTTATCAAGCTGTCCGGAGTAAAACTGGACGCCAGGCACTAGACAGCCCTACTCCGTCTATTCTATTCACGCAGTTGTTAGCCTTGCTTATTTCTATAGCCACAGCAATCAGCCTTTGTTTGGCTGATCGTAATCCATTCCTGATAGCCTCCACATTTTCGAAGTCAATTTTGTGCCCCGTGTCTAGCGCATGCATTGCTGTTGCTGAATCTCTGAGTAGAGCTCCATACTCTAGCTCATTTCGCGGAGGTCGTGATATGTGTCGCCTATGTTCTGAAATCCTCATACGTAATTTCCTCGCTGTTTGGCCTATACACTTGTGTACAATCTTTACATGGAATTTTGTAAATGCAGTTAGTTGTTCTATCTAAAGGGAGTGTATCCTTTAGGTGCACAAGTGTGGACCGTAACGTTCGACCCTTCTGGAAAACTACCCTTATCTTCTCCTTATTCAGTACTCTCCGAATCGCTTCCGAGGTTCCTTCTTTATACGGAATACCCACTGTCGCTATCCACTCTGTGGTTGGAGTTGCGCGTGGGTTGAGACATTTCTGTAGCTGTCGTTTCACTAATCGTTTCGGATATCCGCTAGCTATTAAGTTTTTCATCGCTTCCCTCTGCGCTGCTTTCTTAGCTTCTTCCTCCGTGCACAGAGCACTTGCTCTGTGAAATAGTGATGAGGCGATTCCCGCGTACACGTACCTTGAGTGGCTTGAACTATAGCTAAGTACCCCATCTGTGTCCATTGGTTTACGATACATCGTCGTTTTTAACGTTCCTTCCTTCCTATGTACCAGACAATCAAGGAACAGAAGTGTACCGCTCTGCGACTCAGGTTCCATGGTGAACTTTATCGCATTGTCAATGGAGTTCAAATAGTTTAAAAATTCCTGTTTTTATCTCTCTTTATAATCGCAAAGTGTGATCCACGTAACGCCACTATACTTTCAGGGCACCACGGAAATTTGGTAATGCTTTCTTTTTAAACTCTTCCATGTACATATTGGCTAATAAGGGGGATATTGGTGATCCCATGGCCAGTCCCGGTTCATGAGTGTACATTCTAGATTGGAATGTGAAATAAGTCATGTCGAGACACAAAGCTATCTACTCGACCAGTTGATCCACTGTCAACTTTGTTCTGTCCTCTAAGCTGTTGTCCACTATCAAACAGTTTTTCGCTAATCGTAACGCCTCCTCCTTGGGTACGTTCGTGAACAAGGAGGTAACATCGAAGCTGACCATCAATTCGTCTTGTTCGATGCTCACCCCCCCCCCGCGCCATCCCTGAAAACTCATGAGTTTTTTTTACAAATGTGTTCGTTCTCCCTGTTAGGGGTTGTAGCAGACTCGACAGATATCTCGCGAGTTCACGTGTGGGAGAGCCTATGCCATCCACTATAGGTCTCAAGGGGAACTTGGGCTTGTGTATCTAGAAGACCGTAAATTCTAGGTGGAATAACCGATTTCGGATAAATGCTGTACCATTTGCCCTTTTCTAAACTATCCTTCATGATCTTTAAGTAACTAGCGACATCTGATTTCTTCTTATTCATTACCGATGTAATGGATTTCTGCTCAACCTCTTTGTATTATGATCTCGTGGTCAAATGCTCCTTCATGTTTTCTAAATAATGTTTTATTCAGTAGCACTGTTACTTTACCTTTATCCTCTCTTGTAATGACAATACTAGTATCCTCTTTCAGGGTCTTTACCGTTATGTGTTCAGATGGAGGAAGATTCGATTCTACCGGCTGTTGAAATTTAATTATACTTGCTAATTGGGCGCGAATGACCTCAGCCTTTTCAAGTGGTAATCTAGTCATAACGGGTTCAACTCCAGGAATTACATCTTCTACCTTTAGTTTAGATTTACTGATAGTAACATTCAGACCCTCTTCTAGAACTGTACGCTCTGTTACACTTAACACTCTATCTGACATGTTAACAACTCTACAATAGTTGTTATTAGATACATGCTTATCAGTACGACTATCGACCTTATTATGTGCAGCCATCAGGTGTTCAAACTTACGTAATTGCCTTTCCTTCGACTCAGGTCCTCCAGCTGAATTAAGTTCGGAGGTCTTATTGCAAAGTCTGTCATAGTCAGTCTGTACCACTGCAGTCTGTAAATCCAAGCGCAGCTGACTCGCATGTATGCGGATTTCAGCCAGACGTCTAGTTGTTAGGTAGATTCTTTGTCTCTGAAATGCTTTGCCGGATCTGAGTGCTATTCGTGCCGAGGTGTACGAAGAATCCGGAGGTTTAACTGTGAGGGATTTGGGAATAATGTTGTTCTTGAGACACCTAATGTTAAAAATCCGATGCTTCGATGCCTGCTAGGCGCACACATTCACTCGCCAATTTGCGAACACGAGGTCCGTACCTGTACTCAATATCTCGGAACATATTTGGAACCGATCGGGAAGTCATCATTTCAGAAAACTTGGTAGACGAACGGTTAGTGCATTTATGATGGTAGATAACGTTTCGCTTTTGACAAAAAAGCTTCATCAGGCCCTGGTTAGCAATCTTAACTGAACCGTTGCAAGGAACTTGGACATTGATGGAACTTGGCTTTAGTACTTCGGAATTTGGTGGAGGGTAGGTCGATAGTTCATTCCGATTTGGGATCCATGCACCGATGCTTATCAAGCTGTCCCGAGTAAAACTGGACGCCAGGCACTAGACAGGCCTACTCCGTCTATTTTATTCACACAGTTGTTAGCCTTGGTTATTCCTACAGCCTCAGCAATCAGCCTTTGTTTTGCTGATCGTAATCCTTTCCTGATAATCTTCACACTTGTGAAGTCAATTTGGTGCCCCGTGTCTAGTGCACGCATTGCTATTGCCGAATATCTGAGTAGAGCTCCATAATCTACCTCATTTCGCGAAGGTCGTGATGATGAAGCTTTTGTGTCAAAAGCGAAACGTTGTCTATCAACAAATACCCTAACCGGTCGTCTATCAAGTTTTCTGGAATGATGATTTCCCGATCGGTTCCAAATATGTTCCGATATATTAAAGGACAGCCTTGTTTCTTCTCGGATGGGCCGATCCGGATTCCTCTCTCAGGTGCCCTGAATATGGGTGATCCCTGTTTGCCCGCCTAAAACCTGTTAGTCACTATCGCTCAAAAGACCAACTTTTACGACACATAGCTGAGATAATGATGACAGTTGAAGTGTGAGAAGGAAAAATGCGGTGGGAGGCACCAGCCATAAAGAGAAATGAAAGCACCATGCCGGACGAAGACTTAGAGTAAGGAAGAATCTGTTTGAAGTAACTGGACTAGAAGAAGAAAAAAGGAGAAAGCTAGGTTTGATGCATGCATGTGGACCGTTATGAGCTTTCAAATGTTTAGTCATCAGTCAAATAGAGCGGGGAGTTATGTACAGATAAGTGATAAAGATATAGCAAGTGTCGAAGCTTTCCCAAAACGAGTTCACAGCACCGAGACGCAATATGTGCTGTGGAGTGCCTAAGAGGCTAGATGGGTCCGGTGGCATTCGGTTCAGTTCACACTTACTGATGGAGGAGCTCCAATCTTCGCATGTAACGTGTAAAGGAAAAAGTAATGTTGACATGAAGAGAGGTAAAGCGATTCGGCTCGAATATCTTCTCAGAATACATTTGAATGTGTGGATTGTCCAGTTGGCACGGCAGAGTAAAGTGGCGAATGTGTTACGAAGTGAATGAGAGGTAGGAGGTATACAGCTTGCGTTTCCTTTCAGTATTAGTCTAAAGATGGAGGTGGGCCAATCCGAATAAGACGGAAAGTATCTTGAGATAGGGTGAGCAGCAGCATACTTTAAAAAATATGAGTCAGATACTATCCGTAGATACTAGGAAACCGAATGTGTCCAATGTGTTTCGCATGATGAGAAAAGATTCTGATTTGATTTTAAACCTGGACATGCTCCCACGTGTCCGCATTTGTAATGGCAGCTTGCAGGGGAAACGTTTAAGACATTTACGATGTACTAGGCATTTTGAAAAAAATTTGAGTGCATTACCCATCGTCTTTTGCGCAGGCAGTGAAAAGCTTAAAGATACCACGTCTCATCAAGTCGGGGAATAAATTCAACCATTAATATTAGTATAATTCTTAAACTTGAGAATAAGTCATGAGCAGTATTGATGAGGAGAACTCGACCTGCGTTATCTTGCTGTTGTATGATTAATAGAAATCAGGAAGCGCCCGCAAATTGATAAGTGTCTCATAACGTTCCCTTTTTGTGTGGGTAGATTTCGTTAGAGCAGGTAGCTACTAAAGAGCCGTTTAGAGTACGACGCCAGCCTGGAAGTCCGCAATGGCTCGGGAGAACAGGGACTAATTACGGCGAGATTTTAATCCTTGTAGAACACAATCGTCGTGGTACCAATAGCACATGCATGGAGAAGCGAAGGTGCCAGCAAATGCACGAGCTTCTTTTAAGTCTACCCGGAACACTGGCCACTTATACTTCAACTTCTAGCAGCACGTCTAAGTTTGCACCTCAAACTCCGGTAGTTACGGCATTTTCATAAGTTCACCTCAGCTCCTTCCGTCGGAAAACCGGCAGGAAAAATAGCTATGCTCACTCTCATGAATGACATGTGAAACGGAGCATGAAGCATCAAAATCATGATTATCGCGAGCAATCTAATAGCCGGGATTGTGCACTTTCCATGAACTTCCCAGGGCGATTTGTCCTGGGATGCATAGTCCAACGTGGGCACAAGAAGAAAAAATGCTGAGACTTGTGATTCAAGTCAAAAGCTGAACGTCAGAGCGAGGAAGCGTCGTTTTTGGGTACTGTAAGTAGCTAAGCGCTTGGACACTTTGATTCACGTGTATATACGGCACTCTAAACGAGTAGACGGAAAGCAAATGAATACGCAATAATTTGCGATTCCGGCAGAGATCCGTAACAACAACAACTCAATTCATTCGAAAAACACGAAATAATAGCTTCAACTGACACATACATGCCTAATGAGGATGAGGTCATGGATAGACTGAACCTTTGTCCTGCGATGCACCCTTTAGTTAAGAGTGGGGATACACAGTATTCCAGATAAGTGCTGGTTGCACCAAACTGACAGTAAGTCAAAATACAGAACATCAATCCTTGATGTGGTGAACAGCTAAATGATAGGATAGATGGATCGAACAAATTGTAAGGGACACATCATGAAAGAGTTAAGGCCATTGTAGTTTGGAAACAAAAATAAAACTGAAACAGTACTGGAAATATCAGTTAAAAGGGAAATCGAGGATAAGATGCCAAAAAGAGGTAAAGGGAAAGATAACATACTGGAAACGAACCGGAAAAAGCTTGTTCCGCTCTAGTCAGTAGTTCATCGATCGGATAGCTGGCCAAAACACCTCTTGCATGCTTGGTCTTACAATAGGTGCAAGCGTTGAGACAGCCAGTGCTCACAGCCAAAATTTCGATCAGAGGATTACGGCGAATCTTGGGCAGATCAAGTGGAGCACCTCCCAGACGACGCGGACGAGAGTCTGACGATTCGGATGGGGCGACCCTTTTGTCCAAAAAGCGCACAGTATTCCCTGATTGAAGAGGAAGAGTGTGGATAAGTCGGTGGTCTTGGGAAAGGATAATGCAAGACAACAACAAGGAATGGTAAAAGAAGAACGCACAATACGCCTCTCGAAAGACGACACAGAACCCTATAGAGGCGCTTAGAAGTAATGCAGAGAGTAAACGACTTGGTCTCTGCGCATATTTACTAGTCGGTGGCTTTGGGAACCCGCAGTAAAAGTGCGACGTCGGAAAACAACGAAGACACAGTCCTTGAGAGGTTCGGAAACACCACAGCCCTCCCAGTAACACACATAGCCGAAACAACCAAAAGCAATATATGGTGTGTGTGAAGGAAATTACTAGAACAGTGACTATCAACAGATATCTACATAGCAAATAAGAGAGCAAGTAAAGATACACCACAGAAAAAAGGCAAATCACATTCATCGCAATCTTGAAATTTGTTGGAACAACACAATGTCAGAGTAAGAGAAGCCGAGCTTGGTAGGTCGAGGCACTGATTACAAATTTAGACAGGTCCAAACAGCGTCATTCGCAGAGATGGTCTATCACAATCGATTAGTTTAAGTTACAAGCGCCAGATAGTTAGGCCAATCGCACGAGATTGTGGAGTTTGTTAAAAGGAGCTTCCACCAAAAACGAAACCTCTATGCCGTTGAACCAGTAATAGAGGAACTTGAGAGAAACTTGTTGTGATAGCTATATGAGAATGAGGGGTGGGGAGCGATACAAAAACCAGTTATTACGGAAGAAATGGTTAATGCATACAGTCTATAAATTTGAATTAAGATCTTAATGTAGTGAACTTCACTGAGTGATCATTGATAGCTATGTGCCAGAGTTCATTAGCTTCGCGGTCGTCGTTTATTCTCCGCTTGGAACAAAGTTGCCGTTTGTACACAATAACCCAAACAAATGCTGAGCTGTTCATCCTGCATCGTCTGCGAAGGTGGTCAGATTTCACCGTCTGCGTTCATTGGATTTGCGCCCATTGTCCCAGTTTTGTTCCACTTGCTCGGTCGATCAACTCCCATCGCAAGGTGAGCCCTCTGCTTAGCGTCAATGTCGCGTGAGGACAGCACGGTTACCTTCGTCTATGACCAAAGCCGAGTATGAAGTACAACACTGCCTTTCGCACCCGCTATAAAGTACCACACCAAGTATGCATCAATTCACCTAACCAGACAAATCTGTTGTGTCAAAAGCAAGACGTTGCCAACTAAATAAAGCAACCAGATGTTCACAAAACTATGAAACCATTGTTTCTCGATCGGTTCCAAGTATAGCTCAAAAGTTCGAACATTGTAAACCAATTCCTCACAGTTCATCCGGTACGTGTGATCGTGGACAGTTTGCACTGGCAGCGTTGCTTGGCTTTCCAGCCCAACAATCGCACGTCGGTTTCGCTCGTTTAAACTACAAGCTACTACCAGAAAACCCACCGATTAACTAACACTACAAACGCAGTCGACGAGCATGGCCGAACTGGTTCCACCGCCAACTGGCAGCACAAAATGAACGTGAATGATTGTGTACACCGGAACCCCTCAAACGTAGACGTTCTATTAGATGAGTGAAAAGCTTGAAGTATGTAGAGAACATAGCTCGTTAGAGTCACACCTAGTCCTTAGATAACAGCTTACGGGAAGAATGTTGCAAAGTGCAACCAGTTTCGCTTCGCACTTTCGGAGCGAAGGTTGTTGTTACAATGTGTGGCTGATAGGAAACTAATTCCTACAAACGTCAAACCAGCTACCATGTGACCGTGTGATCAGATGAGGCATCGAGGTGGCGGTGTTAGTTATGGTGGTTCAATCACCGAGTCTGCCATCAGTGGGGAAGGAGAGATGTTGGATTACTAAGAAAAGGCACAAAGGAGACGACGCGGTGGGACCAGTGATACTGCGTGAATCAGAGAGAAGTTCAACATGCACTACGGATTTTATTAGATTAAAACTGTTAGGTTTACGGTATTTAAGAAACATTGCTCCTGTCTGATGGAAGGACCAAGTTAGTGATCATTGGTCGGATTTGGCAACAGGTGGACAACCATCTAACTGAGTGGTATCCATCGAGAAGCGGCGTGCCCCAAGGCACTGTACTGGGACCGATATTGTTTCTAATCCATATAAACGATGTGCCTCAGCTACTACAATCACATTGTGCTTTGTTCGCAGATGACTTGAAAGTGTGGAGAGTAATCCGCACACTCAATGATTGCGATTTACTTCAGCAGGATCTCGACCGCCTCTCGACGTGGTCTGCAGAGGTTAACCTTCCGATCAACCCTGCCAAGTCGCAATTAATGAGGTTGGGTAAGTGTGATCACGGCCGAACGTACACAGTGGCTGGTCAACCATTGCATCCCGCTCCTTTCGTGCGCGACCTCGGTGTACTCTCACGCTGCGACCTAAAGTCCATTGACAACACGAATAGGCTGTACCAAAACAGCCTTCGTATGCTTTGGGCTCTCAGGCGCAGCTTTAGCACTTGGTCCGAAGAGATTGCTACTCGCCTCTTCGTCTCGATAATACGACCAATGAACAAGCTCCACAGATTGATGCAATATTCGACTGTGCATCGCGTATTGCAGTCGAGTTTAGACCTCGACGTGGTAATATGGTTCGTGCGAATCCGGATAGCGCATTTTAAGTGTTCTCAGAGTCACTCACATCGAATATGTCGAAATCAGAGGCCACATGGGGGCAGACGTAGTATCCAGCTCGTCGGATGTTGAAGAAAGATTAATGATCTTCCTCTCAAACAGCTCCACGATGGGGAGACATAATGTGGGCTATAAGTGTAACTACATTTGCGCAGGGTGTGAAAGCGAAAGTTTATCTGTGGGGACGCGAGAACCCAAAAATTGCACCTCGTCTTGCTATCATCCATCTTAAGCTAGTCAACATGGGGTAAAAGCATACTAGAAGTTGTTTGCGGTTGACCTTGACCGTGGGTGTATAATATGCTGCTGATGGTGCACAAACAGCGTGTCGTCGGCACATATGTAGGACGAAATTGGACGCCGCAATCAAATTAGGATGTTGGAATGGAACCCTCCGATTTGTGTATGAGACTGCTGAGTCAAAGGCTAGGGGAGTGAACAGAACTCCTTCAATGCATGGGCAATCGAGAAGTAGCAATCGGATATCACAATACCACCAGTAATAGTTTTTTCCTTTGGCTAGTTATCGTGGTGAGGTTTAAGAAAACAAATCCTGACTTCGTCAGCAGAATTACTGAAGTAATACAGCCACGTTTAAAAAGTATTATAGTATTCAGTACAGCGTTAGCGAGTACGCAGTGCGTATTACGTCATCACTATCATCAACAGCAGTACATCGGCCACCAGGACTGATGCTTCGGTGCCATATACTCACAGTGACCTAAGGAAAAAAGAACAATAAGAGGGAGAGAAGGACATGCAGCAAAACGATCACAAACAGCTGGCTATCGTGCAAAGATAAGTTGACATCAGCGAGATAGCTTCCTTGAGGATTTCACTGCTCTGCAACATAATCAAGCATTAGCACGTAGGTAAGTCAGCACCAAATCCACTTTAAACAGACAATCTGACGAGATGTCGCCGACGTCACTACGTTATTTGCTGTTGCGTTGCAAAGGCTAGGCGTCGACTGTACAGTTGTAGTTATGAGCACGTCCGCAGCATAGCAACCCGTGCGGAGATGGTGAACTGTCTCCGTCAACTGCTCCAGATTGCGTGGCAACTTGGGTCGTGAATTACGAACTGAATGAGTCATCTTCCCGCGTGATCTACAGCAGGACCAGCCAGTGTACCGAAATTGTGTCGCTCCGTTTATCCGTTGTGGCCACCTAACAGGAGTCGACAGCAGACACGCCACTGGTGTCGACTGCGAGCCATGTCCTGTAACGTCTCAAGCCAAGCAAAAGGAGTCACGTGGACTCCAGTTTGGAAGGCGAGACGGAGCGACGGCGCGAGCTTGGTCGTCAATGAGTGCATATCCCGAAGCCAAGTTAATTTCTGTCCACCACGGGCATTGCGTCACCCTTGCGTCTGGCAAACAAAGCAACACCCTCCAAGGTAAGCGGTGACCAGGCGCAGGTAGTAGGTGCCCAAGCCAACGCAACTTGTTCAGTACTATCTGTAATTCTAAGGGATTAGCCTGGTTATCATTGTCTAGTACTCGCTTACGCACGCTGGAGCCACCCAAAACTGGCAATGCTTCGCAGACAATGATGATCAAAGACTTGAAAGCGCCGCAAGTCGGAGTAGAATGGCCCGCAATGTGGCCTTGTATACACGACGTTTCAGGCGGAGGGACATACTTTTCTGACGCTACAGATGCCACAGTGCGTGAACTGATCTCAGCTGCAATACGCCCATCGTTGCTGATACAGCTGCCAACTACCTCTAGATCCTCGTTATCAGGGGTCAAAGGGTTGTCAAGTGCCTGGTGGTCCGGTAACAGCACTCTGCGTTTTGAAAGTGCAAAGCGTAGACTAAATAATGGGACAGCTTTAGGTAGGTTAGTCAGGGTTGATTGTGCCACCACGACATCGTCCAAATGCAAAGCGATATCGTCCGCATAATCAAGATCAGCTAGCGTTTCACCAGGCAAGAGATCAACGCCTACATCGTGAGATTCCGCAAGGGAATACTGTATGATACAGTCGACGATGAAGATAAAAAATAGTGGGGAAATTGGACAACCATGACGAACGCCACTCGTTATCGGAAAGGCATCTCACAAATTACCGTGGACCCGGACGCGGCCTGTAGTGTTCGAGTACAGAACACGTGAAATGTTCACATACTTCATGGAAACATTTCCGCGCAAGTATTTCGTACAAAATGCAACAGTCGACTGAGTCGAGCGCACACTTAAAGTCCAAGAACACAGCTATTGTCGGCCTGCGGTACGTGTGGTGATGTTCTAGCACCTGCCGCAGAGTGAATATGTGGTCTGAACAGCCACGTCCTGAACGGAAGCCTGCCTGCTCTGTCCCACTCTGTGATTCGCTC